GAAACTCCGTCTCAAAAAAAAAAAAAAAAAAAACTGTCAGGGCATAAATGTTCTGACTGACACTTAAGAATGTGACTCATAAATTACATGCTATTCCTATATTTAATTTAGATATCAGAGTACTTCCTATGTATAAAACAGAATACTGTATAATGTTTAAAAATAAATAATCCACTAAATATGAAGTAGTTCCTTGTTGTTAGTCAGGTCTATTAGTCCTTAAATATATTATGCAAAAAAATGTAAGCTACTTTTTCAGGAATGATGCAAAACTTGCCTTTTTCCCTTAATAGCACTGTTGCATGCATAGTAAGTAGCATATACATATAAAATATGAAGGAAATAAACCCATTAGAAGCATGCCTTTGCTTTCTGATTTTATATGCCAGCCTCTCATTATTGCCATGACCGTACCTTCTGGCTGCTACCAATCATGAAGTAAAAAGGAGGAACATGACTAAAACTAATTACTACAGTACCAACTATCATTGACAAGCACCTGCATCTCAATTCTCATTAAGGAAGTTTATGTCCATAGTTAATACTTTCTTGGTGTTTTTCTTTGGCTTGCTGGAGTCAGTCCTTATTTATGCAATTTCCTTAAACAACGTATATTCTTTTCCCTATTAACAAGAACAGATGCCCAGATGTTTTGTTGCAAACATTTGTCTAGAATTGTCCTGTTCGGTACTTCTTGTTAGTGACTAGCCAATTAGCACCACTTAAAATTACACAAATATTCAGAAAGACAGATAGTATTTTATTCCTAAAATCTGAAGGCTTCAACAAAACAGAACTTGAGACTTTTTTTTTCTCAACAGGTCAGTAAGACCTATTGGTTTATGATGACAAGAAAGATAAAGGAAGACATTCCCCATCAAACACTTTTCAAATTAAGTCATTCAGCTAGTCATCTGAAAACTAGGAAAATCATATTACAGAATGCATTTTTTTTGTACCTTAACAATGGTATAAGTTAATTTAATTTTTTAAAAAACTTACA